CACTCAAAAAATCAAGAGGCCCATTTGTGAGTGAAAATCAATGTAAAAAAGATATAGAAGTTAAAACATTATTTATCTCATTTACATGTGTTCCCGATGATGTTGATTACTAGACATGTGGATTAATGAAGAATAATATGGAGATTGGTGGGTTAAAATTTTCACGGAGAGGAAGAACGAGATTGGTGAAGATGTGGATTTTGGTAAAAGTGAGTAAGAAGGAGATTGGTGAAGAGGATTTTGGTAAAAGTGGATTCAATTTAGGAGCAACGAATAGAAATTTAGGTAAAAATAGTAATTTGGGTAAAAGTAGGTAAATTTTTTTATGAGAACAAAAATGTAATTTCAATTATTGTTATATTTTTTGGGCAACAACTAGTAATTTGGGACAACAAATATCAATACCCTAGAAATATGAACAGACGGAGAGAAAAGATCATATACAACTAAATGTTATGGTATCTACCACCTCTCAAACAGTTGAAAAAGATGTTTAATGATACAAACAAAACCAAATGATATAATTGTTACACTAATGTATTTTCTTTGTAAAATGGAAATCCCGAAACCTATGAAAACTTTAAATTTTCGTGATGACAATTGCACCTAACCATAAATGTTTATAGGACCGCACTATGAATATCCAACTTCCATTAGAAAATAACTATATTTTAGAAGTATATTATGCACATCAGTATAGAGTAATGTTCCCCTATCCACGGTGGGCACATGTTAATATGTCCACCGCTTATGTGGCATGCACACATTGGTGATGTATTTTTTTGAACATATTAACATCACTAATATATGCATGCCACATAAGCGGTGACATATTAACATGTGACCACCGTGGGTAAGTGAGCATTGTTGCATCAAGTATAATGCATTTGTGGCTAAAAAAACAACTTATCTTCTCCAGTGTGTCATTTCAACTATAATGATGGCTATTCTATCATTTTAGATTTACCTTTAAGAAAGGAAAAAAAAAATGCAGGGGTGAGGTGATGTACCTCTGGACACGATATTTGTCCTATTCACCTGGCCATCATACCACACCAAATATGCAACTTCTATTTAAAAAATATGACAATTAATTTAGTTTGACTAAGTGGTTGCACAATATCTACACTCAACCTAATCATGTCACACCCATAGCATATTGGGCTACAAAAGCCACTCTTTCACATAAAAAACACAAGCATGAAGCCTAAAATACAAACCATATAACTTACAATTTTTCACAGGCCCCAAATATTATTGTAGATTATTATCGATCTAGTTGGGCCCCTACTGACTTCCAAGGGAAGACTTAAATATATTGTTATCGTAGATTATTTTATTAAGTGGGATGAAGTTGAACCACTGGCGACTATTACCAAACAAAAACTGACTTGATGTCGAGGTCTATAGTTTGTCGATTTGGAATTCCCAACTCTTTCATCACCAACAATGGAAACTGTAGCAACAAATTTTATGAAAAACATAAAACGTTTTGTACAACTTGATTTTATTTAGATCAAACGATATGCGGGTACAATCTCTATTTATCTCCTCTGATTCTTCTCTTCATGGATTTGGGTTTGAGATTGGATTTGACGATTGAATCTCCTTCGGGCTTGATCTTGAATTTATCTAACATTAATTTGGGGGTCGAATGGCTTATTCCCGTATTAAATGTTAGACCTTGACTTGATTGAAGAAGACTTCTTGGAGAACTTGTTTCTTTGATCTTCTAGAAAGAAGGACTTTGACTTGAATAACGTTGACTCGAGGGCTTGATAGTTTTTTCTCAGATCAAACACTATGTTAGTTGAACTTCTCAACGAACAGGGCTTGAATGTCGCTTCAATGTCGTTGATATTCTTGGATTGACTTGAGAAGCGTGAAAGTTGTCTCTTTACTTCTTGAGGAAGAGTCGCCGCCTCTTTTTCTTCTTCTTGGCCTTCTTCTTCATTGAACGGACCTCGGACGGTTCTTCAAGAACTTCTTCAAATCTTCAAGAGGATTCTTGAGAGCGCTTGAATTTGGGACTTTGATTTTTGAGGTGTTTGAGGTGTTTGAGGTGTGATTTGTTAGATTGAGGAGAGCCCTATTTATAGGTGTAGGAGAGAGAGTCTTGGAGAAGAAGACTTTAATTTGATTGGTCTTTCATGATTTGACATAATCTCTTTCCTTCTCCTAAAATTTGATATAATCTCTTTCCTTATCCTAAGAGTTGACTTGGTGGGCAAGAAATAATAATTTTATTAATTAAATATCTTATTTATCTTGGATTTATGTCCAAAAATAAATAAAGACATTAATTAATAAAATATTAAATTTCGATGTCTACAAATTTCTCAACGAACAGAAATTTCGAACAGAAATTTCGATGTCTTCTTCGATCTCAAACGCTATGTTGGTTGAACTTCTCAACGAACGCGGCTTGAATGTCGCTTGAACGTCGTTGATATTCTTGCATTGACTTGAGAAGCGTGAAAGTCGTCTCTTTACTTCTTGAGGAAGAGTCGCCGCCTCTGTTTCTTCTTCTTGGCCTTCTTCTTCATTGAACGGATCTCGGACGGTTCTTCTAGAACTTCTTCAAATCTTCAAAAGTATTTCTTGAAGGCTCTTGAATATGAGACTTTAATATTTGAGATGTGTTTGATATTTTTTAGGTGTTTGAGGTGTGATTTTTGACTTTGAGGAGAGCCCTATTTATAGGTGTAGGAGAGAGAGTCTTGGAAAAGAAGACATCAATTTGATTGGTCTTGATATAATCTTTTTCCTTATCCTAATAACTTTATTAATTAATTATCTTATTTATCATGGATTTATGTCCCAAAATAAATAAAGACATTAATTAATAAATATTAAAATTTCGATGTCTACAGAAACAATTCGACAACAAGAAATCACGGTTGTTTTGTGAAGGTTTACACATAAAAAAACCATTTTTGCTAGTCCTTATCACCCTCAATCCAACAAGCAAGTCGAAGCAGTGAATAAGATAATAAAAAATAGAGTGAAAGTGAAACTTGAAGAAGCCAAAAGGACTTGGTTGGATGAAATGTCCCATATTTTATGGTCTTATTGCACAACTGTCATATCAACAATGGAAAATGCCCCTTTTGGCTCGCTTACGGTTCTGAAGTAATGATTACAGTCGAGATCGACTCACAAACTTATCGGTTCAATAGTACGATAAAGCTGGAAATGAGATACTTTTGAAAGCTGATCTCGACCTAATTAAAAAATATTGTTTACAAGCAAAAAAAAAAGACATATATTATAAATCTAAGGTGAAAAATCTTAAACCTTCTGTAAAGGAGATCTCATCTTAAAGCGAGTAATTGGTGTGATCTGAAACTCTTAGACCTAAAAGGAAGGGTCCTTATAAGATGAGCGAAATTATGGATCGTGGAGCTTACCAGCTACAATACTTAGATGGAACACGATTCTAAAAACCTTGGTATTTCATGTACTTGAAGAAATATTATCAATAAAAAGGGGTCTTTTCATCTCAATGTCATTTAAAGACTCACCCCACAAAATATTTTAGTTCTGCTTAGCAAAATATTGAATACAATATTGGCATATGGTGCTAAAGTTACTTGTGTTTAGACTCTCAAGTAACCGAACATGTAAAATATTGAATACAATTTTTACTTGTGTTCTTACTCGTCACCAACTAACCGTTCTAAAATTTTAACTTGTGTTCTTACTCGTCACCAACTAACCGTTCTAAAATTTTAACATGCAAAGTAAGTGATTATATCTCATTTAACTTATTCAAGCATGCATCAAAGACCAAACATTTGCGAATCCAACAATTTTCGAATTAGTTAAACTCAAAATCGAGTTACATAAATTCAAATTCCCCTACATTTTAACTTTAGAATTAGTTCTTCATAATACCAATATGTGATATTTCCAAAATCTCATTAAACGTACATTACCTTTATGCAAATCAATGTCACGTATCCCCACCGATCTCAAATTTATGAATTAGGTAAATGAGATAAGCATAATAATAATAGAATCTCATTTAATATTATAGGTAAATTTTATTTAACCCATTCTTATCTGTTGTTATTGTAATCTTCCCCTTTAATTCTCTTCCCCATATTTTTTTCGAAACAAACACGACCTTATTATCGTAACGCGATTACAGAAAACCAAAACCATAAGGACACGTGTACGGCTACCTGCTATATCTCGCCGTGGGATTGTAGGCGGTTAGATGATTAAGTTGATCTTTAGCCGTCGATTTTGGCCTTTACACCACGTGGACAAAAAGCAGCGGAAAACTGTGGTGCACCGCGTCGCACTGAATCCATCGTCTCAGTTTAAAGCCTCGCTCAAGCTCTCAAACTAAAGTGGGTTCATTTTCGCATCTTAATGTGATATAAAAATATTTAAGTAAATAAATAAAATATCGTTTTTTTGAAAAGACGAGAGACGTTACGTCTTCTTCTCCGGCGCGGCGTCGGTCGGAGAATTCGGCTGCCGATCGGAACGACAGTTTTTCAGGCGTAGGTAGAAATTTTGTTCGAGCTGAATATGGGTGATAATGATAATATTCCTTTTTTTTTTTTCGCAATGCTACTGCGTTTTCCTAGGGTTATCAACTCCATCGTGATCAAATCTAGATGATTATCAGTTCTTATTATCTATTGGTTCATTGCATGTGTGTTTTCAATGTGGGATTGAAGAGAAATTTTACGGATTTTAGATACTTTGTGTGGTTTTAGAATGCTGCAGGGTGACTGTGTTTTTCCAAATTGAAAAAATGGTGATGTGTATTCGAATTGTTAGTCTCTGAATTAAGTGTTTTATCCTGGTTGCTTGAGTTAATCGCTTATGTTATCTGAGATTGTGATTGTCTCTTTGTTGCATGTGTAGACTAAACTGATGATCAGTCTATAATTAGCATTTACCGTTTTTCTTCGTTTTGTTTTCGACAGGGAGTTCGTTCGTAAGCTTACTCGGATATCTCCATTGGAAGATTGACGAGTACAATGGTGAATCTCTTACTCAGATTTTGTTAAAACTGGCCCCTTTTTTATTAAAGGGGCTTTATTAGACTGATTGACTTTTCTTGCTCTGTTAAATATATATTATGCGTCACCTCCTCAGAGTCATACATTACTTGGAATATATATTCATGATGCTGAGTTACATTATTCTGCAGTTTTGTTATCCATGATTGGTGAATTGAGATGCTATCATTGTATCCTGCCGGTTCACTTGCTTTGAAGTTTGATGTTTTCTCTTCGTTGCCCTTCGCCTCTTTGTTGACTTGTGTGAAAATACTTTGTCTTTGTGTTATGTTCTTTTATACTCTGACCTCTAGTTGTGGAATGAAGTGTGTTCACGTATATGGATTTCACACTTTTGTGACTCATCTTGACCAGAGATTTACATTATTCGACATTCTGTAGTGTGGGTAATTTGATATTACAGTGCTGATTTGTTTCAAATCCATCACAGTATACTGATACGACTTGCTTTTCATGTGTGTTTCCTTGTTCATGTATCTTGATGTAGATGTCGATGTACTCATGTTCTACGCTGGGGAAACCTTTTTAAGACTAACTATGACTCTGTACTGTGAGAATTATTATTTATAATTTTATTGTGAATTAATTATTATAATTGGTGTGAAAGATCAGGACTTAAGTTAGTTCTTCTTCCAGCTCTAATTCGGTTCCCAATGTTTAGGTTTAATATAACCATCTACCATCTTTAAACTTTTGATTGTTTATACGCGTGATCTCTCTGTGAATATAGAAGTAATTTGTCGTTTCATTAGAGCTAAGGGTTATGGTGTTCTCAAGTAACAAGCTGTAACGTGTCAGTAATGATCAGCAATATAAGATGAAAAATGATTACCGAACAGGAGTAAATCTGCCATGATTTCTGTAAGAGTTTCTTGTTCGTATGCAGTTAGGTGCAAATACAAAGTAGCCCTCAGATAATACTGTTCTTTTATGTGTGGCACTGTCTCGTTAAGATTTATTTCTGCAAAACACACATGAAAAATAGACCAATGAAATAAGAAAATGGCATATTACTACTATTAACTGTGGGTTTTCAATTCCCTCAACCCTCAGACTAATTAATTACAGCTCGTCCACATAAGAAAAGGAAACTTTGTAATGTCTTGCAGAAATGACGTGTGCTGTTCTCAACAATACATGCTTATTCGGTTATAGAAGATGTAAAATTACGTGCAGGCAAACACTAAAAACAAGTAAATAATTTTTGGTGTATTACATTGATCAAGATCATTTCTAAGAGGGTGGACTAGGTCACTGGTTGATTAAGCTATCACTAAAGAGTTGTCAAAGATATAAAGCATTTGCTGAAAATTATGATTACTAGGTGTTTTTATTGAAGTGATTATGTTCAAGTCTTGTAGTGGTACTTTATTGGCATTATTAACTTGATACCTTCTGTTGAGCAATTTGTGCACATTAGCTAACATCCTTTTTGTTCTCACGGACATGATTGGTTGCAGTGAGGTTCATACTGAGCAATCATATTTTTCATTTTGTTTTGCTTCCTTCTTGTGAAGCCCTTGATTAATTGTTTCCCTTACATAATTTATAAACTTGTTGGTCTATGAGGGTTCTCTTTTCCTCTCGAAATTACATTTACATGATGATAAACCTTTGCTTGCCCGTCATCTTTTGATTCCTATTCTCTCTATTTCACTTTTTCCCCATTTAATATTTGTTTTATGCTTTCATATCCATGAACTTACTTTAGTATTTATTGCTTCTATTTATGGTTCTATGCCTCATCAAATACTGATCTGATGAAAATAAATCTCGCTCTTAGATCCATTGTAAATATTAATTCATCTGCAAGCTTGCTTTGTATTTACTGTTTACATGGTGCTTACATTTCTATTTATCCTAAATGTACTAATGCTCACATCTTACTGGTACTATTTCACAGAACAACAGCTTTCAGTTGTCCAGTGGCTCTGGTTCCCTGACGTCTGGGGACATGTCTTATGATAAGTATACTCGGATAGATCACAAGCGTGGTCATCGGTGGTTTATAGGTAATTCTGAGCAAGAGCTATTTTCTAATAAGAAGCAAGCAGTAGAATCCGTTCATGAAATTCAAACCCCGGCATCCACAGCTTTGACCGGTTCCTTTTTGCACGGTGGTTCAAGCTCTTGGTCGGGAGGTCAAAGAAATGACTTTGACCCTTATGTCCCTAAGCTCGTCCCGAGTCCAATCTTCGCTGATGAGAATAATTCCCCAGATTACCCTGCCTCTGTCAATATGGGAAAGATGAGTTTCGAGAACCGATTCAAAAATGATTCATTAATTAGTCAAAGCATGTCCCAGGCAGCAGAAGATCCTCAGTTCCACAACTCCGCTCTTAGAAAAGTCAGAGTCAACGAGGTGACTGCCCGACATAATAGCTCGCCCGAGCCCTTAGGGAGCAGTATCTTCGTCCCTGTGGAGAGCAACAAAAATATAATGGGTAGTTACTTTCTGAGGTCCAGTAACAATTACATTGGTTCTGGGCTTACTTACAACTCCATACTGGATCCTGCCTCCAGCAAGACAAATGGGTATTTCACGCTGAACAATCACTACTACAACGAGATTAATAACAGCATGCTATCCATTGGACAGACATTTGACCAAGGGAGTTACTATAACTCGTTGGGCCATTACGGAAAGGAGAATGCCAAATTCATGCCGGCCGGCCCTGTTTACGGCAAGGTCCCGGATAATTTCTTCGCCGTGGACCCATTTTACGCTAAAGCAAACGAAACTTTAATGCCCACCGGTTCTGTTCAGGATGACAACAATGCCGCCATTCCCTACAGTGATGAGACCCCTGATCTCCCATCGATAGTCGAGAACTCTGACAAGGGAAAACAGAGTAAGACCATATCCGTTGCAGGTTTTGTGGGTCCGGAGGAGAGGGGCTTCATGTGTAGTAGCTATGGTGTTCTGCCTAATTATCACTCTTCTGCTCAGTCCATGGAGGCATCAAGGGAAAAAGATGCTGAAGTGCAACAAAATGGGAATGTGAACCCACGGGCCACCTCAAAAGGTGATGGGCCCAAAAAGGTTAAGGATGGGAAGGCCAAAAAAGAGTCGTCTAGCAATTTTCCTTCTAACGTGAAAAGCTTGTTGTCGACGGGAATATTCGATGGGGTCCCAGTGAAGTATGTTTCTTGGACGAGAGAGGTAAATGGACTTATTGACATACTCTTAGTTCTTTTTTCTCTCTTTCGGTAGTAAAAGGGAAAAAATAATTGACCTGGGAATGTATTTTCATTTTGCCAGAAAAGCCTTAGAGGGGTGGTAAAGGGATCTGGTTACTTGTGCAGCTGCGAGGAATGCAAGCTTTCCAAGGTTCAACATCTTTTTTTTTCCTTTGGGTTCTTTTCTCGTTTTACTTCAATATCAATATTTGGTAGTTTCATAATTATCAAGGCGAGACAAGCTTCTCTTCTTATATTGTGCTTTCAACTTGTTGCCGTGCAGGCTATTAATGCTTATGAGTTTGAGCGTCATGCTGGAGGCAAAACCAAGCACCCAAACAACCATATCTTCTTTGAAAACGGGAAGACTGTATACGCCGTGGTCCTGGAACTGAAGGCTACCCCTCAGGAAAAGCTTTTTGAAGTGATACAAAACATCACTGGCTCTATTGTCAACCACCAAAATTTCACTACTTGGAAAGGTGACTTCATCTATTTTGTTGTTGCCCATTATCTATTGAAGAATATGGTTTTGGGTTAACTATATACGCAGATGCTGCTCAACATGCGATGCACGTGCGCATGATTTTACACAGCGTGTACAATAGCACTAGATAAACATGCAATACCCCCCTTTTTTTTCGTCAAGTTGCGTAAAAAGAATATTCTTATACTAATTTCAAACCCATATTTTTTATTTATCTGTTTATTTATTTTTACTGTCAGCATCCTATCAAGCTGCAACCCGTGAACTTCAGCGTATATATGGGAAAGACGAAGTCGCTGTGTCATCTTGATGGGCGATGTCTCGTATTTTGTAAAGTTTTAACGGTAACCGTTTGTTGTCCGGGTCGTCGGAAAATGTTTGCTCTTGTTTTGATTTGTAATGTTGATGTTAAATGTATTAAAAATGGTTTTTTTGAAACAGCACTGTTTTATACATTTTGTGTGCTGGGTAAGGGCGTCCGGCTGTTTTTTGGCGCGACAGTGAAGAAAGGCATCACTTGTGAAATATTTATGTATGTTTTATTATAGGTTAGCAGTTCTTTTGCTCTACTCTTTGTAGCATTATTAGATAATAATATATAATAGTCCCCATATTCTAATTTTTTTTGTCTTTTTGTGGTACTCATTTTTTTACGAGCACGTGCAAGTGTATAGGATGTCACTCAGTGAAAATATTTTTCATTATTAATTTGAATTAAAATGGGTCAGCCGTGACAAATCGATAGTGAATTATTTTTTAAATTTTGTAAAATATAATTATTAAAGTTGATGTAATAATAAAATTGTATAATGATGCAAATGATTGATAGTGAAAAAAATATGAATTATTGAATTTTAAGTTTAATTGAAAATGTGTAACAATGATTTATTTTTATTTTATGATTGCGTTAGATTAAATTGAAGAGAAAAAAAAAAAAGTAGGAGGAATATGATTGAATGTTGGGGAAAAAAAATATAATCAATCACAAGAAAGAAAATTTTACGAGACAAAACAATGCTTAATTTGTACCTGAGGAATGTTTCCCTACTCACGGTGGACACATGTTAATATGTCCACCGCTTATGTATCATGCACACATTGGTCTTGTATTTTTTTGAACATATTAACATTACCAATGTGTGCATTCTACGTAACCGGTGGACATATTAACATGTCCACACCGTGAGTAGGGAAACATTATCTATTTGTATCCGTCCCAATTACAACTACCGTTGCTCCTGGTGACGTGCAATTTTCACTCCATGTTAGCATATGATAAAATCAAAATTGATTAGGCCACTCAAAACTCTCATTCCTCTTCATATATTAACTCAAAACATGTTGAGGCTAAGTGTTAAATTCTCACGCTTCGGATGCTGACATGACGAAAAATCTATGCTTCGTAATGTTGTTTATATATTCATTATTGCTATGGGGTTAGGCATGGTATTAGACATAACTAATTTTTTCAAACTTGGTAAGTGTATATTTAATTTTGTTATTATAATTTTCTACCATATGTTTCTCCTAAATTACGATTTACAAATTACATTGTCTATTCTTATTTTTTCTTTCATGAATTAGTTCATCAAAATTTTTAAATAAAAAAATTATTTTAGTTAAATTTTTATCATGTATTTCTTAACTCCACAGTATCAGAGTAGTAGTACACGGATATTGACACTAGTTATTATTGAACAAACAAAGCATGTTAAAATTGATGGTTGTTTTACATGTTGTCATTATGAGATAGATGGACTAACATCATGTTAAAAAATGATTATATCTAATAGAAAGGCAAACGAAAGAGAGAAGAGAGAAAGAGAGAGAGAGAGGGTAAAAGTGTAAAATTCATATCAATTTAAAAAAAAAATGTGAAACCAAATAGTGAAAATATAATCTTACACCATAAGCATAGGGTAAAAGTTTGATATCCCATTTTAAAGACCACACGACCGTGTTGACCGCCTCGACTGCAAAGCCCCCGGCATGAATTTGAACACATGTCAATCAATGGAATAATGTTTAATTTACATGAATTGAATGTTAAAAGAATAGGACTTTCGTTTGAATTGTTACCTCCAATGCATCCATTCAACAACCATACAATTTGTATATGTGGATTTATTCATTTATTAGATAAGTAAAAGTGTATATTAGAAAAAA